TTCAGGATCCTCCTTGTCTCTTGAGTTTAACATGAACAAGTTGTGATGCATTTCCACTATTTTAAAATTAAAATAATCTAGTAGAACCCTTATTTTAATGTCCTTAGTTCAGTTTCTTTGTTCAGCTAAAACTTTGTAGGATATCAAAAAAAACATTTTTAAGGGTCGAAGTATTTAAACTCTTTGGAACAAAAGTAAAATGAGACCCAAAATAGTTTATTTGCATAAAAAATTATAATGGTCTCAAGTTTCAGCTTCAGATTTTGAATTATCAAATTTATGTGCTGAAATCTAAAAATCACGAATTCAGCATGACAGGCTGTTCTAGAAATATATATTTTAAACTTAGACAGAATTTGTCCATAAAACACAATTTCTGTCACATGATCTTAAGACATGTAAGAATATGTGGTAAAAATACTAAAAAACATTCTTAAATTTGTGGCTCTTACATTCTCTACATAAACTGAATGTTTACCGCTTGATAACCCAAAACAGTCTGCGTAAATACGTTTTCTGCGCATAGGCTCCACGCATACATCCGTTTTAACCAAAATAAGATGAACAATATATTATGACCAGTCAAAACCACTCCCGATCAAAAACCAAAACCTTATTTTGAGGCGGGTGACGGCCATATATATTCAAATTCAAACAGACCCAAACCAGGCCAGCATTTGATGTCAACACCAGTACGCTGAGAGAGAGAGAGAGAGAGAGAGAGACTCAACAGAGAGAGAGAATGACTCAACAGATCAGTGTTTGATGTCAACACCAGCAAATGGTACTGACGACAGCCTACACTAATGCCCATTCCACTTCTAATTTCGCCATTCTCTATCCATGTTATGTTCCCTTAGCAACAGATAGAAGTTACTAGTTTTGTTTTGTTTTATACATGTAAATATATATAATGTTTAATATATAATAATATATATATAACGTTGTTTTATACATGTAAATATATATAATGTTTAAATAATATAATTTTCATAGAAAATATTCGTCCTCCAACAGGAATCGAACCTGTATCCTATATGGGACAGACATATAGCCTGACGTGCCTTTAACCAATTTGGCCACAGAGAAGCATTCAGTTAGCAAACTCAATTTTCCTGTCTTTAAACTACAATCTATGAAAATTTTTCAGACATTCAGGCCGGTAAATGTTTAATACTGTTTATTATAAACAGAGCATTTACTTAAATATTTGTATCTATAAAAAGAATGTATAAACATAAAAATGTCTTGAAATAATTGTTGGACTTTGTCCATTTCATAATGTGTAATGTAATTTGGATACGCCATGAGCAGATATGAATGTACGTGATAAAATCATGGAAGTGGAAGAAATTAAAATAAAAATTCTATAATGTAAGACTTTTTATATAAAGTGTAAATTCAACTGGAGTAGGAGTCGGTATAGTTTTACCGATTCCAGTGACCCATTAATTGCTTCTAAGTCTACAAGTTTGAATCTACAGCCTTGCTTATTACTATAAATGTTATTTAATTAGTGCACGTGTTTGAGTTGACATAAGAGTGAAATTCATACCAACCGGCCAAAAGATCAAAATCTACCACCGCGTTTCAGTCATATTACACCTCATTCATCATTGCCATTTTTAACGGAAACCCTCAACGCCTTGAGGATGATGAACTTTATTAAAATAAGTGTGTGTGCGTGCATTCCATATTTGAGAAAAATGCAAGACACACTTAATAAAAATGACTCCCATTTTGCTTAAAGTTTTTATCTTATTTTCAAACATATTTCAGTAAAATTTGCACTTTCCGAGTTAAGATATATTGGAAAAAAGGTGTTTTAAAATGATACTAGGATGTAAGTTAAGTTTTTTTTTTTCAATTTTATTTGCTTTAATTAAGGAGAAAATTTTTAAAATGATAAACAAATGTTGAAAAATTTAGTCATCATTTTAAAAATTTTCTCCTTAATTTAATTTTTGATAAGCAGATAACACATAAATGTTACTTTTTATTTTCATAAATAGCTAAACAAAGTATTAAGAAATACAAAAATTTTGTTAAAAACAAAGAAAAACGGTACTGAACTGTTACGTAATATCAGTCCTCCAATACAGCATCTTGAGAAAATGGAACCAAAAAAGACACTTCTATTTCAGATGAGGACAACAGTTTGAACAATGTAAACAAACAAAAAGGAAAACTATTTCCAATGCTGTCGATTCTTCAATATCTGTCGATATTTCTGAGATGAGTTTATAGGATACAAATCCTATATCATTCCAACAAATGACTAAAAAAACACAAAGTAGATTTGCACACCCGCAAAATCGGATCAAAACGACTAAAAACAGATTTCGCAATAAGATGTGAAATTAATTTTCTGACCAATGAAAGGAGGCGATTTGCTAAACTAAAAAAAAGATAATGAGCCAGTGTGAAAAAAAAAGTCAACAATAAATAGAGAATTTCAAGTCAATCACCAGTCAGAAGGGCGCAGAGATCATAGAGGACAGAAGACTGACAGTAAATTTCATCACTGACTCAACCCGACACTAAGAGCCGAAAGTGGAGTAGGAAAGGAAAACAACAACAAATTTACACCTGACTCCAAAACAATTCAACCCGATAAGTACATTTTCCTCTTATCTTTTATTCCTCATTCACACTCTCTTTTTCAACTTAAATTGATCGCCCCTTTTTCCTTTACACCTATACAAAAAACAAAACAGACATTATTCTGCTACTCTGTTAAAAGACTGCAAACACAGACATTTTTGTCAAAATCACATTTTGAACTAAAGCATTAATCTTTTTTTACCCTATTCACAAGATAATAAATATACAATGTTCTATTTTCTACAAACGTTCCTTATTGTGTTGTTTCTTCTTGAAATTTGCGTTGTATTTTGTGGGCAGGGTATCCCGTATTAAATTCTCCTTTTAATCCGGGTACGCTGAACCCTACAAGTTATTGTAATTATTTGCACCATTTACAATGTTCAGACAGTTGTCCTCATATTTGTTTACATATTCACGACATTTCGGCCATTCTACACTCACACCTTCTTCAGGATCTGTCTCTATTTCTGAGATGAGTTATTGTAATTATTTACACTATTTACATTGTTCAGACTGTTGTCCTCATCTTTGTTCACAACAGTCTGACAATATAGTGAAAATAATTAAATATCTCATCTTAGGAATACAGACAGATAAGCAAAAAAAAAAAAAAAAAAAAAGGACTATTTTTCAGGACCCCCAGAATATCTGCTAAAGATATGCTGCCCAACAAACAAACTCATCCTTGAAGCACTTCTTACTTGCCATCGATGACCTTTGCCAACCTCATTGACTAAACAGTTTAGCTACAGGCTTTGATTCCAGTTTGTATCAGTCTAAACGAAAACTGGAAAAGGTTCTGTGTAAGTTCACAAGGGAATAGAAGATAAAATAACACCATAGTGAGAATTGGAAAAAAGCATGAATCCTGTTTTCAATATACAGGATGCTTTATTCATGTATTCAACAGGCACAGCCTGGGGAAGGGAGATAACTGCCACTTATAATGTCTTTGCTGCTACTTCTCTTATAATAGACTAATGGATCAGGTCTTCACTTCACCATTCTGAGTTGTCATAATTTCTTTCTTTTTCTTTCATTTTCATTTTTTCTTTCTTTTTTCTTTCATTATTTTTTTCTTTCATTCATTCATTATTTTTTCATCCATTTATTCTTTTTCATTCTTTCATTATTTTTCTTTCATTCATTCATTATTTTTCTTTCATTCATTCATTCTTTCATTATTTTTTCATTCATTTATTCTTTTTCATTCTTTCATTCATTATTTTTTCATTCATTTATTCTTTTTCATTCTTTCATTCATTTTTTCATTCATTTATTTTTTCATTCTTTCATTCATTTTTTCATTCATTTATTTTTTCATTCTTTCATTATTTTTTCTTTCATTCATTCATTATTTTTTCATTCATTTATTCTTTTTCATTCTTTCATTATTTTTTCTTTCATTCATTCATTATTTTTTCTTTCATTCATTCATTATTTTTTCATTCATTTATTCTTTTTCATTCTTTCATTATTTTTTCATTCATTTATTCTTTTTCTTTCATTCTTTCATTATTTTTTCTTTCATTCATTCATTATTTTTTCATTCATTTATTCTTTTTCATTCTTTCATTATTTTTTCTTTCATTTATTCTTTTTCATTCTTTCATTATTTTTTCTTTCATTCTTTCATTATTTTTTCATTCATTTATTCTTTTTCATTCTTTCATTATTTTTTTTCATTTATTCTTTTTCATTCTTTCATTATTTTTTTTCATTTATTCTTTTTCATTCTTTCATTATTTTTTCTTTCATTCATTATTTTTTCATTTATTCTTTTTCATTCTTTCATTATTTTTTCTTTCATTCTTTCATTATTTTTTCATTCATTTATTCTTTTTCATTCTTTCATTTTTCTTTCATTCATTCATTCTTTCATTATTTTTTCATTCATTTTTTTCTTTCATTCATTCATTTTCTTTTATTCTCTCATTTTTTTTCTTTCATTTCTTTATTTCTTTTTCTTTCATTCATTCATGGTTTCTGTTTCTTTCATTCTTTTTCTTTCGTTCATTCATTACTTCTTTCATGTATTACTTCATTTCATTCATTCATTATTTTATTTCCCTTCTTTCTCCATGTGAGCAATAAGTGACAACTTTGCAGTCCTCATATCTAAACTTTACTGTTGCTTATAAAATATCAGACCCTTTAATCCCAAATAAAAATCATTAAGGGCCCACCTGAATGCATGGCTGTTATAAGCCAGTTGTGTGTGTGTGTGTGCATGTGTGTGCATTGTTTCACAACCCAAACTTGATGGTCTGTTCCAGAGAGCACACCACCACCAGACATACATACCCCACAAAAAAAAACAGACAAAAGAAAACATTATAATTGTATAAATATATTTAAAAAAAAGAAAAACAGAATTTAAAAAAATTTTTTTTTCAAGACGACGATGAAGGAGGAGGATTGCGTCGTCGTCCAATTAATGTGGCATCAGCTTCCAGTAAGGTAATGTGTTTAGTCGATCCCAAGAACGCAGCTGACATTTCTAGGTCTTGGAGCAGCAATTTGACTTGTGTGCCGCGGCGATATTCACTGAAAAATAGGAAGTATTTGATTATAGTCAAAGAATTCTTGAATGATTAGGTACAAATAAAAAAAAAAAAAAAAAAAATGAAAATATGGATAAAATAGAAAAGGAAATTGTATTTGATACAACAATAAGGATTTTTTTTTTTTTTTTTTGATTTTCTATGAACTTTTTATGCCCTGTAGACCAAGACAAATCTCAACAGTATTAGAAACAGAAACAACTAAAAAATATCTTACGTAATGCAATTATTATTGTTTTTATTGATGGAATCAGATATAGCTGGTGTAACAGCAAAACTGTCCATTTGATAGATTAAGATTTGAACCGTTGTATTTTAGAAAGTTAAGTTTTTGTGCGATGCATTCTGTCATTTCGGATTTCAGCAGACGAAACTGATGTTCACATTCGTGCAACTACATATGAGCACAAACAGAAAGAGACACTGAGAATTTTAAGCTTAAATCTTTTTTTTTTTTTTAAAATATATACTTGAGGTATAAAGTTTAGTCAGTTTCTTTTTGTTTATGTTTTTATCCCTTTTGTTATTAAATATCTGACAATGCGATAATAAATATGCCTGTTTTTATCTAGTTTATTGCCATTGTTATTAATAATGTTGTTGCCATTTTGCGTGTCCTTGTTATGAAGTATCCCACCTTTTGATGATAGACGATCTGACAAGAAAGGTGAAATGTTGTAAAAACCTGGATGCAAATTAACTGCAGCTGAACTAACAATTAAAGCACTTTCTAAACATTTTCATGCTTTCTCTTTTAATTAGAGTGGCATTTTTAAAATCAAAATTATGGTCAGATTCATTAGTGTACATTTAGTTTGTTTTGTAAAGGATCCCTTTTGTGTTCACATAATCCTTTATTTAAATTCCTTGAGGTTTCTCCTATGTATTACTTGTGGCAATTATTACAGGTGATCGAGTAAATACCTCTTAATATTATTTTTTCTGTATTAATTCTTTTTATTGTTTTAAAAGTAGTTGTAACAAAGTTTTTGCTAAGATAAATTCTTTCATTGTAGTTGTGATAAATTTGCTGGGTAGAAGAATATATTTTGATTTACCAGATTTCTCATGAAGGACTGTTTCTCATATTTTTCCCCACTAAAATTGTTCTTATATATATATATATATATATATATAAATGGAGTTGGCTAGGCTGTACATCTAGATCTCAGACAAAACATTACATTTTATCATTCAACTACATGCGTGTGTGCGTATATATATATATATAGAGAGAGAGAGACAAGATCAGAGGAGGAGCGATGTATTTAACATTTGATAATTTTGCAGCAATATGCGCTTAATGATTTTAGGCAGTTTTGATCAACATTTCTTTTCATGGTTCGCCATAAGGAATTGTAAATGTAGGACTTACTTTACACTTAAGTAAAATAATAACAATAATAATATTTATTAAGAATTTATTACAGGAAATATCAAAGTTTTACGGAAACATTGTTCACAATTATGGATTTACTTACATAACAAATAAATAAAAATAATATCTTGTTTTTAGGTATTTTTCATTTTCTTCTTTGTTATTGGTAGCATTTTAGAATACTTTGGCTGCAATGCTAAGTTTCCTAAGTTGAACAAACTGGAACTATTTCGTTCATATTTTGTTACCTCTCTTCTCAATTGTTGTTTTAGATCACTTTCTTCTAGTCATTTTGATGGGCAATAACGAAATTTCTGAAATTTAGAATGATCTTTTCCATTTTAAAAATAAAGCCTTTAAAAAGGAATATTTTAAATTAATATACGACCAAAAATAAAATGATTTTGACAAAAAAACCTTAATGGTTTCACTATAATTATGTAACAATAATGTTATGATATTCCACAGACAAATCTACAATTTGTGTTACCTCATCTCGTTGCATGGTTATGAGCTATAAACCTCAATTGAGCTTGAAATATTGTATAATCAGCTTTAATTTTTTGGTAAAATACTTGGATATGATATAATGAATAATTTGCAGTGAAAAAAGCAATTTTCAATTTTTTGTTGAATACACTCCTCCTCTGCCAAACACATCACACACTATATATATATATATATATATATATATATATATATATATATATATATATATTCCAGGATCATTTTCAAGCTTATTCAAGATGATCTTTGCTTTCTCTAACCTTCTAACTTTTTGGAGTAACAAGGTGAGACACAGGTTTCACATTTGATTTCATTTTCTTTTTTCACTGCTCTTTGGAATATTGTAGCTAAAATATGATTATTTTTTGTGGGGTGGGAAGTACATGCAGTTTTTGTCCAGTGAGCAGGATTCAACCAGTACAATTAACACTTTCAAAATTTCATGTACAGGCATTACTTGATTTCATATATCTTGCAATGTACATACTCAATAATGAAGTGGCAACCATTATCATGTGTGTTTATGTCAAGAAACTTTGTTCTATAATTTGTACAAGTAAGATGACATTGTTATTAAGTAAAAACTATACTTACTAAACTTAAATAGCTAACTACAATACAGTGACTCCCAATATTTTAAAAAAAATCTTGAATTTCTTTTTTGTGTGTAAAAAAATACTGATTTTTATGAATATGGATATCCATACATGATATGATCAAAAATATAAGAGCGATAGCTAGAGTAAATTTAAAGTCAAAGTACTTACAGAGAATAAATTTCTTAAATTTTTCAGATTACTGGGTAGTTAAAAAAGACAAAAATAAGTCACTCATGTTATATTCTTCAAGTAAATTATACAGATATGACCTTCGTAGGAAAATATTAGATAAACATTCATCTTTCAACATGTCAACCTTACATAAACATCTTTATGTAAAAAATATGCATTTTAGTGATATTTCAAAATAAAAAAAAATATTGGTTTCAAATCAGATTAAACTTCAAATCAGCTAATATTCCACAAATAACGTTTCAGTAAAGTATGTTTTGAAAAGATTTTTTTAGTAAAGAGAATTACACTGTGCTGACAGATGATTAAAAATGGTGCTAAAATCAGTGATTTTTAGTGATTTAAAAAAAAGAAAAAAAAACTCCTTCCAATCAATTTAAATTAATTTTGGAATATAGTAAAGTATTTAGTTTATTAGAAATCTACCACTCGTCCCTTCAGCCTCTCAACCTCCAGCGTCTTCCTCTTTGGGTTGAGGCGCCCACTCAGTCTGAACCAAACTCAGGGGTAGCTGGCCGCACGCTCCCTGAGTACCCGTAGATTGTTCGACCGGTCACTGGCCAAGTTCCGCCTGCTGCCCACATTGTGTTAGTTTTTAGATCCAGTAAGCGGGGTGTTGTCCATACGTTCAGTCGATTGGGGATGTAGGCATGGCCGTGAGGGTGGGCAGCAGGAAAATTAGAATGTGGCAAACAAGGCAATAATATCTGCAGAATGGGTAAAATATTGATATCTTTTATATAAGAAAACAACAATAGTAGAAAGAGTTTACAGAAAGGATAGAAAAGCAATTAACATAAGAACAGAGGACCACTCCTCTACCAATTATACCAACAGAGAGAGGTGTGTGTGTGTGTGTGTGTGATTAACTCGTTCCAAATCAACTTGGGAGGATATGTGACTCGTAATTCCAGCGATACGTAGAAGTGTAGCTTTTCAGTTGGTTGTCGTAAGTGACAAACGTTAAGTTTCAGCGACTTTTCAATTTGACTGCTACAACGACAATGATATTTCTCGAAGTCCTTATCTCTGACTCGCCACTGAACTGACGCACTGTAACGACAGTCTCTCTCTCAACGTCACTCTTGTCTAACGCCCAAGTCTCCCCAACTCAGTAAACTTGCGTTTATATAGCAAACCGAAGGTTATAAGCCAGGTTGTTCACGCGCTTAACACGAGTGTAGCCATAAGCAAAGTTTAAATTCAGATCTATTTCAAATCTCTTAGTGGATAAAATTAATTAGTTCAATGTTCATTTCAATTGTCTTTTCAATGACCAAATTAAGCGGATACAACTTATGTTTAGATCAGATTTCGCTAGCAGTAAACATACACTGATCTTACCTCCTCGGTCCAATTTACTTCAATATGTTTTTATCAAAAATATTATTTTCGTCTATTTTTTTTTAATGACCCAAATTAAACATCACCCTTTTGCATTTGTTTATAAACAAGTCCTCGCCAACCAGATTTGAAATTTTTTCTTTATCCATCAGCCATCTCAGAATTTATATATCATTGTTCTAGATTCTTTCCTATTAATAGCGCTGACACAGTTTGTAACTTTCACGGAAGATTGTGTTTTCCATCTTTAATCAATAAACGTTATATTTGTGTGTGTGCATTCATGTGCGTCAACCTCGCTCTCTTACAGAAATATTAAATTAAATCTATTAGCTTGAAATTAAAACGGTATTAAAAACTTAAAGAGTGGTTTTTCATTTTTTAAAATTTATTTTAAACCTTAGGCATCGTGTTTCTTTCAAGGTACCTAATTTTACTGCAGCAGTACTGGTCGACTTAATAGTCTTAAATCATCTGGATTTTTTGGATAGGACATTACTATTTTTTTTTTTTAACCTTTTCACCCCAAGCAAGGCAACAATGCCACTTGAATGCATAAGGAGCAAAAGAGAATGAGAAGACTTCAGTGGAAAGGATGAAAAAAAAACAAAAAAAACAAAAAAGGAACAGAGTTTAAATTCTTGATGATTGTAGTCATCATGGAAGCAAGTAATTGGGGGTTCCACAGATGACAAGTGCGAGAAAAGAAACAGAGTAAAAGTTGCATCGAGCTACTTCAACAGTAAATGGTGAGACCTAATTGCCAATCTAGTAGCATGCTTAAATTCATGTAGTCAGGGCAGCAGGAAAAAAAAGCTTGTCAGAACAATAGTCACAAAAGTATTCATAGAAAAAACAGAAGGAAACCCCATCACATCGGTGAGAAAGAGACGGAAGTCGACTGATTCATTGATTTGTTTGATTAACGGCATATCAACTCCTTATGGGTCATTTAATGCCAAAATTTACTTTTCTTGAGAGCTTTGAAGCAATTTGATAATTTTATATAAATATATATTCTTGGTAATTTTTTTTTTCTAGAAAAATGTATTGCTGGTATTTTGACTATATTTTTATACTTTCACAGTGTTTTGTTTTTGTTTGCTGGTTCACTATTTGCCCATGGCTGGGTTCCTAACAGGTGCTACTACCACAAGTAAGGGTGGATCTGGGAACAACAGCAAATAAAATGTGGTTCCATGCTCCTCAAAGTCTCCAATCTCCCAAATGTGATTAACTCTTTGCCTATCCAGGACATTTTCGTTTGTATTATCAAAGTTTGTTTTCAGATTTAAAACTATTGCAAAGCAACTCAGCTTATTTAAACATGCTGATATATTGTGTTTCACATAATAAAAACATACAAAAGTTATTTACACCACACTCTGTGCATCCCATGTGATACACAGGTTTTTATTCGTCCTGGGTATGACAATAAACTACGTCCAAGAGTAAGGCCTCTGATCAGGAGGTTTTGAGAAGCGTGGAACCACCTCTAAAATTGTTGATGTTCCCAGGTCCACCCTGACCTGGAGTGGTAGCACCTGTTAGGGTCCCAGCTATGGGCAAATAGTTGACCCCACAACCTGACTCAAAACATTATGAAAGTGTAAAAATAGATTTTAATACCAGAAATACTTTAAAAAATAAAAAAAATAAAATTAGTATCGGCAATAAATATTTGAAAAAAGAAAATATTACCAGAAATAAAAATCTTGTCAGCATTAAATAACCCATTCAGGTTAATATGCCACAAAACAAAACTTTTTTTTAAAAATATTACCAGCTATACATTTTTGGAAAAAAGAAATTTTGTCGCCATTGTGGTTGATATACCGTAAAACAAAACATACCAAACAGGTTTTTATTATGTGAAACACTATATATCAACACATTCTGCTTTCCAAATAAGCCACGTTGCCTTGCAGTAGTTATAAATCTGAAAACAGGCAAGTGTCTTGTGGTCATATATGAATGCACAAAATATTAGATTAGGCCTTTCGTCATATGTCCTGCTCAATAGTAGACTCTTTATTTAAATGTCCTTAGTTTTACAAGTCTTTTAAAATCATGGCTCATGTGCACCACATAGGATGCATGGACACGGAAATCACATATCCTGTGCATCACATATTGGTAGTGAATTTATCCTTTGATGCGATTCATATTTAGAATAATTTTGCTGGACAGTACTTTACCAATTAATCCAAGGAATTATATCAACAGTCAAATTCCAAATTCCACTATTACTTATTTAACTGCATTGGAAATTATTTTGGAACTACTTTACTGATCTGCTCAAAATAAAAAGTAATTGGGTGGGGGATATTTTTGTAGATTCATATTCATTAGACAATTCTCTACCTATGATATTTGCGAGAACAAATACTTTTTTTTTTCTTTTTTTTAAAATCATTTTAGAATGTGAGTTCTGTTCAAAGTAGTGTCAAATCAATCTCTGACTTATCTGTACCTTGTTTTCATTTACAAATGTCAAGATTGAAACTGCCATTTAGGTACCTCCACTAATTTTCAATACCTAAGCATTGAAATGAATTTTAAAAAATGAAAAATCATTCTTGAAGCTTTCTTTTTAGCATTAATTGAAAGCTAAATGATTAAATTTACTTTTTCCAGAAAGCAAAATACTCTGGTGTATTTCAAATAGAAATTTAATTGCAATTTCAACTTTTTAGTCACTTTCAGACAATCATTTAAAATCAGACATTTTTGACACTTTTTGTACACAAAAGTTAATTCTCGGCTTTAAAAATCTCCCAAAAATAAAATATACTTTTCTGAAACTTTATTTAAGGAATATTTAAGCTGATTTAAAGTATAATTAATCTGATTTGAAATGAATATTATTTAAATTGAAAATAACAGAGAAATGAATTTTTAAAACAAACAGTAGCGATGATTACACACTTGTCACTCATTAATCATGTAACAAGTGCTGATAAAATGTGTCAACACCTTTGTTGTTCTACAAAGACTTTATCTGTTAAAACATAATTTAAGAAAATCATGGGTGAGCAAACTGTTATTATATAGTTTTAGGTACTCTGTTGGAAAATATTCTCTGTAATATAATTTAAGGAATGTTGACTTTAAATTTACAAAAATTATAACTCTTATTTTCTGATAGTAATGGTATGTTATAAAATTGATTAAATCCATCCTTGACTTTTTAAAGAGTTATCTGTAGTGTTTTTATTTACAAATGTCAAGTTTGAAATTGTGAATATGTCATTGTGTACTATTAAGAACTGGGAAAAAGGGGCAACATTTATTTTCAATCAAAGTTGCTTTAAGGTCGTAGATTTTAAAATGACGTTATAGGATCCAGATCCTATATGGTTCTCAAAACTTCAACAATTAAACAAAACATAGGCTTCAAATTAAATTACGCAACTAACATAATTTGATTGGTTCAAAAATATCACCTGTATTGGAATTTAATTTGAGAACTACAAACATGATATTTTACAAGTTCACATTCGAGTCTATTTTTTCAATCCTCACTCCAACCTTTTTTCTTACTTTCAAAACCAGCTCTCAAAGCCTTGATTCTTATCAGAGATAAGAATATATTTTCTGACCAATGAAGTAGGCAGGAAATTTGTATAACAATTTTGGAGGGAAAGTTCCCCCGATTCCTCTGAGCCTCCCAAATCTCTATAAATTGTGAGAATTCGACAATCATCTGTGAGGTTGGTGATAGCGAACACCAGCCAGCTTTGGAATCAGTTTCAACAAAAAAGAACTACCTATTAAAGGACTGTCGAGTACGAATGTCGGCCCACTATTAAATACCGGTTGAAAGCTGCCTCCATTCACCTTCAAGACTTCTGTCATCAACCTACAAACTCACTCAATTGCAAAATTTCTATCTACAGACATTTTCCTACTCTGCAAGAACTTTGAAGAAAACTGTGCATGTTTCTAACCCTTAGCAAAAATCTACTTGCTTAATGTCATACCTGACATACCTATTCTATTATTAATAGACTCTCCCACACATAATAAGTGGTAGTAGTAGTAGCGGTGACCAGTTGGGCTCAGTGGTGTTGAGCAAGTCAGTCAATATTGGACATTGAAGTACCAACCATCACAACTAGATTGCTGCGTCATTTACTCTTATTTCAAGTTCCTAACGTTTTGTATGTCGAACCTAATTTAGGACGACTTATTGAAATACAAGCCACCACTGTGAAAACTACTCTACAACACTTAAAGAACTTTTAGGCGCTCAGAGAAATATTTTGAGCAAGCCTTTTCTCTGTTATGAACATTTTCTCTTCTCTTAAAGGACTTCTACTTCTTTCTCTTGTAATTGTGTTTATCCCTTTACCCCTTTTTTTTTTGTACATGTAAATAAACATTTTCTTCTTCTATTGTTAGACACTGAGAAGGAATTTTAAAGTCTTTCTTTATTCGGCCACCTAAAAAGAAAGCGTTTGTCCACTCTAATTTTGCCACTTTTATTCAATTTTTGTCACAATTTTTAACCTCAACTTTTCATGTGGGAAAGCTGGGACAAATTTCCTGCACATGGTATGACGTTGACTATGTCCACCTGTCTGACCTTAATTTGACCTGATCAAAGGTACAGTTGCGCCAAAATTTTGAAACATTTTCTGGAGCCTATCACGTGTCTTATATTGTTTATATAAACAACAAACAATTAAGAAACAAGTGGAGAAAAAAAATCGACTGAAAAAGCTACTGTCTACATGACGACATTCATAATAAAATAACTTTCAACTGAAGTCCAGACTATAAGTTAAAAATCCTTTTTAACCATAGTCTATATCCTTCATTCAATGCAAACTCACAGAGGCAAACAATGAAGTAGCAGACACTCAAACGTCAAACACAAGTCACACCCACCCACAAACGCGTTTTCCACAAACTTTGAACTGTTTATTTTGCATACAAACAATATTACAGTAAAGTGAATTTTTCCAAATTCACACAAGTTATTACCCTACAACTTTCAGTCTATCAAATTGGAACACTGTCTCACACAAAATCTAAAAGGACAAGTATATTTCACTATTTTAAACAACATTCCATAACTATTGCTTTGTACATTTGTTACATATTAAAAATCTATTTATTTGTACAATTTCTCTTGTCTGAATTTTCTTGTTTCTTTTTCTTGTTAAATGTTATTATTTTGTCACTTTGTGGTATTGTTTATAAATTAGCGAGGGCAATTAACCCCCCCCCCCCACAACCTGGTTTAAGATGAAAAGAAAATCAGTCAAAAAGTTTTTTTTTTTTTTTTTCAAAAAAATAACGCTCTGGACAATTTAAAATTCAATGTATGTATCGATTTACTTTACTTACTGTGGTCTCAACTGAGGTGTTTTGCATACACAGTAGAATTTTCCTCCAAAATCGATGTAAAGGTCGTCTCCTTGAACTTCAAAGATCCTACCTTGTACCACGCGACCCGCCGGGTGACCAAGCTGAAAGAGTTTAGAATTCCGTAACATGCTCGCAAATGACGTGCCCTGTTCGTCTTTCAAATCCTCGGTTCCTGTTGGTTCTTGCGAAAGGGTATCAACGTCATATTTGTCATCCCAGAGTTCGACCGCTCGAACAAATTTACTTAAGGTTGACTCTTTCTTGGGTTTTGAAGTGGTAGATGAGTTCACATTATTATTGTCGGCCGTACCAGCATCGGTCTCATCATTAGAAACATTTTTCGAAACTGTTGAATCGGAGGAAGACCTCCATCCACCCAGCAATCGTGGAAGATTAACTATTGCTTTAGTTTTTTGCCGGAGACCAGCACGAAGCACACCACTCATGGTAGCAGCCATCTTGGGTAACTCTTCAGTTTTCACAGTTACATTATGGATGCGCCTAAGCGAAATAATATTTAACATTGACTGAACGTAATAAAATATTTGAACGCAGTTATAATTGCTGTTATTAATTAATTTTCTTAATTTAGATATAAGAATATTTTTACATTTTCTCTTAATTCATTTTACAATCGGTACTAGTTGTTATCACTATATAAGTTTTTACCATTAGTAAAAAAAACAAAAAAAAACTGTATCAGCTGATGGCTATGATTGATGCATAAAAATTGCTTTTAAAAATCATAGTCAAACTCTTCTGTTTAGAAATGGATTTGATGGATATTTCACAGGTATTTATTCTTTTGAAAACCTTTCTGCTGTTAATGAGTCTTGATTTTCAAAATGTTGACATGCATTTTTATGGATTTTCATAACAGCTTGATTAAGTTTTTGATAAAAATTGTAGACACTTTTAATCTTTTAAGACTCTAAAATTCTGTATTCTACGTGACAATGATCTTTAGCTTATGGATGAAAACTTTAATTGAAAATAAAAGGCTCGTAATTATTCAACACGACAGATAAAAAAAAAACTGGAGGCCGAAGCATAGACATAATTTCGAAAAGATAAATGTATAATCATTCAGGAATTTAAATGGAAATTTACTCTTTATGCACTACTGAATGTTTGGAGATCTTAACTCTTACATCCTTCCGTAAATGATTTTATTGATTGTTTGTGTTTTGTTTATTGCCATTTGGTGTTTTCTGTCTTCTTTAACGTGAGATGAGACTGATTTTGTGTGGACCAATGAAAGCCAAGATTTCTGTTCGTCTAGCCAATCGCTGCGCATTTTACATCTCCGTCCCCACCAATCCCCCCCCCTTCTCCCTCTTACGACTTGCGGACCCAAACCAAGTGACTGTATCTCGTTCCAAGATGGACTTACCTCCCAATTTCTCGAAAATATTTCAATTCATGTCGCTGGTCGGCCAGTTAAAGGTAAACGGAGTGACGATTTGTTTACTGTCATCTTTTATTTGGTTTTGAAAAATGTAATTTACTGTGGTTTCTTTTTTGTTCTTTTTAAATAAAAGTACTTTTTGAAATGTGATTACGCGTGGTACATTTTAAAATTCATTCATTTTTTTCGTTTTTACGTATTTAAGGGGTTTGAAAAAGGAGTTCGTTAATTATTTTTATTTTTATTTTTTTTTACAAATACACCACTGATTTCTGTTACAAGTACTACAATAATTTGGTAATTATTGTTAAAATAAGAACATAATGGTCATTTGTTTTGCTGATGAATGAAAATTCTGCAATTAATTAGTAGTGGGCACCGGTTGGAAATCTGTTTTTTTATCGTATAAAAATTGCAGAGAGAAAAAAAATTAAATGTCTCTTTGCTATTTTAGGTTTATCATAAAATAACCCTGGCGAAAATAAATCATCCCAAACCATGTCGATTCTCCTATGCCGAAGTTGTAAATGAATTCCTTTTTTTTTACCCTATTTCATATTCTGCTCAGTCTTTTGGCGGGGTGGAAATGAATTGATTGAAATGAAATTAATCTTCTTATTCTTGCTTGCGTACGACAAATTAAATCATTTGTGATTCTATTTTTAAATTCAAGAAAAAAATTACATCGACACTATCCTTTCTATTTTACTGCATCAATTTTTAAATTATTTGCAGTAGTAAAATGAACAGTTTTTAAAAAACTCTTGATTTTTTTTTTTTAATATTTTAAATTCTTTTTTTTTTTTTTTTTTTTCAAAGATTTTGCTCTTAAAAGTGGAAGTAACCATTAAATTTAAAATCATTTTTTTTAATTTTTAGATCTAATTATTTGATATTTTATATAATGCCGGCAATTTAAATTATTTTTTACTTGACTGAATTTTAAGTCTCTTGCCTTACTTGACTCGAATTTAAAATCTAAATTCTAAAACACGCTCATTGATTGTAAAATGTTGACTATTTCTGAGATCCGAAATTAATGAAGCCAAATGACAAGTCAAACGAAGAACAACTATTTTTTACTCACACGACAAACTTTTTAAAATTTTACTTGCGTATTCGGATTTCAGATGCTAGTTTAATTCCTCCGTCCTTATGTCAATTTTGCTGACTAAAAAAAAAAGAAAAAAGAAAATTTTTAACTAAAATTTCAGACGTGGTAAGAAGGTAAAATTAAAAAAAATAATCAAAAAAAACTTTGGTCTTTCCTCTTAAAAATAACAAACATTTTTAAACATAACTTTTTTCATCTTTTTTTTCCCATAAGACCCTGTTTTTTTTTTTTTTTTTTATTCATATGCTCTTTTTTAGTTATCCCAGGAAGATATCTAACTACTAATAAATTAGTAATAATTGTTATATTTTTAATTTAATTCTAAATGTAATAATTATGAAATGTTTCTTTAAAGTTAAAAACTAAAAATGATTTAGTTTTCAAATTAAAATAACAACTATAACGTACAGATACATTTTTATTTTTTATAATAAAAATTAAAAAATAATCTTTTAGCATCAATCAAGTAATTTTTAGTCATACTTTAGCAAATTTGGAAAATTGAGCGTCGAGAGTTTGAAATTTCAATTAAAAATCTGAGTTTCACTTCCTGCTTAAAAATAAAAAAAAATATATGCTAATTTTGGACTCCTGAGCCTTAACATGAAGTTACACAGGGTATTTTTAAAATTCCGTGTAACAGTGTCACTGTAACGAATTTTATGACACGACCCAGACTGCAATTCTCGTACAAAATGTTAGTTATGTTTATTAAAAAATATATATATCTTTATTTTAAGGCCCATTATGAAATAGAAGTGCATTTTCATGATCTTATTCTTAAATAAACCGAACGGAGTATATCTTTGTTCTTTATTATTATTTTATTTTATTTTAAAACCAACTAAATATGCATGGTATACAGAATGTCTGGAACACCGTCAGAGATATATGAACAATTCTAGTTTAAAAGCAGCAGTTCCAAATTTTTACTTATCGGAATAGGATCATTATTTTTCTTTTCTTTTAAATTAATCACTTCAGTCTTAAAACAACTCTGTTCTCACCCAGGGACTGATTTTTAACCAGTGGGGTGTTAACTCCAACTTATCTGCCAAAAGAATTTCTAATGAACGTCTGCTAAAAAATAGTGTACAGAGAATACCTCTCTATTTACCAACCTTCCCACAAGGCAACATGTGGCACAAGGCCAGTTTTTAATGTGGGGGATTCCGAGCCTCTAAGCTGGGGTAAAAATTGCCCATATGTGGGGGGAGGGGGGGATTGTCTACCTCCCGAAAAATGAGACTCTGCCCTTAGGCATAGCCTCGTCTGTTTGCCTGGAGGCAGAATATCTACCAACCTCTCCACACGGTCAGATGTGGAATAAGGCCGAATTTAATGTGTGGTATCCAAGCCTGTAGGCTCGGCCAAAAATTCCCTGTATAAAACAGGGTCGGGTAGCTGTTTCCCAAGACAAGACTCTGTCCTTTGAAAGCCTCGTCTGGGGATCCCGGAGGCAGAGCGTTCGACAAGAGTGGAAGAGGAAGAGAAAGCCTCCTATCTCATACATGATGATAAAAAATTTGTTAGATGAAGACATCATAGCTATGTATAATGGTTTACCGTTACGTGGAAGGTATTTGTGTTGTACCCTGTATAAAGCAGTTAAAAAAAAAAAAGCAAAATATCTTTTCTCTCTTTCACTATACCAGTGCTACTCAAAGTGGTACGCAAACCATAAGCTACCGGTATGCAGCTAGTGTCCAGGCTATGCTAAGTAATCATTTGTAAAGATTAAGGTTATATAATTTTTATTTTTGTATTAACAAACTGCTTATTTTTATTTTATTTTTTTTTATTACTTTTAATGTGAATTATTTTTTTGTAAAATAAATGGAAGATAAAAAATAGTCAATTTTTATAATATTCATTACTAGGAGAGGCTTCGGCCACTCACTATTGCTTCGCAAAGTAAGATATATTCACGACTTGAAATCTTTGAAACAAAAGTAAATACCGCATAAATTACTATTTGCATCTCTGTCAAAGGACAGAGTGCACTCGGGGGCTTCTCTGTCAAAGGGCAGAGGGGCAACTGAGAAAATTATACTGAAGAGGTGCCCAGCTCTGGGGAACAGCTACCCGAGGCCACGCCCACCCATTGCACAAGAGGGTGTGATCGGTGCTCGCACCGAGGCCAGTGCAACCAATGGTTGCCAAGGCTGTGGGGAATTTTTGTCCCTGCCCGAGTGTACACACTTGGGTCCCCACATTAAAAAGACCTTGTGTCACATCTCGTCCTCATGGGGGAATGAGTAAACACCATATAAATTACTATAAAGTAGTGTTGGGGCTTTTTTAATCCCTGAATTCTTTCGATAATTGTGATCCAATTTCAAAATTCATATAGATTCCATAATATAGGTTTTACTTAATTAGCTATTATGTGTCTCTAACTCTTCAAATGTTGAATGTATAACTAATTCTAATTTCTATTTTCCCATCTTTACACTATATTCATCTTATCTTATAAATTCCCCCTGTTCTGTCAACCATGAAATAAAACTAATTATTTGTACGGAAAGTAAGGATCTATGTACATCAAATCGTTTTTAAATTAAGTGGCAGCAGAAAAATTATTGTTGAACTTTTAAAAGGTAAGCTTAACAATTAATTCAATACCTAAACGCAGTAATCAGTTTTGAGTTCTTCGGTAGTTTATTGTTGCCTATCACATCTACTCCTCCCTACCTATTGTAATGATGGACAAACCAAGAGTCCTCCGCAGGAGCTAGCTTAAATGCTGCCTGTTAGGGTGGCTTTTAAACTAGTTCATAATACAATGTGCACTGCAATTTTGGATACAAAAGGAAAATAAGAGTTACTCCCCTTGAATCATGAAAGCAATGATAATGCCTAGTATAATACATTAACATATATTTTTATCTTGCAAAATCTGGTAACCCTGAATCTGAGCTCAATGAAAATCGTTCCCTGTGCCTAACTTTTTTAGGGCTTTTGAATGAGCTATGAATCATTGAAATCAGACCAGTGGGAGTAGAGGAGTTGCTTGAACACACACACACAAACACACACTGTACTTTATATATAAGATATGTAACATTTACAGTATAAATTAATATTACTGGGAAATATTACAGGTACATGACACATTAAGAAAAAAACTGCTGGTTCGCCATATCAGATAGTTTGAGAAGCACTGCTAGACCACAAAAGGCTGTAGTGTAGTGACATGATATGTCACATTTTCCGTCTTTGGGACTTTTTAGTTCCCAGAGAACCATGTGTAACATTGCATACATGTGATGTCTTCAATCAATTAGCGTTAGGAAAGGTGGTTCACTCTGTCATGCTAGATAATGCTACCAAATTTGGCCTGGTGCTCCTGCTATTGGTTTCGTGGTTCTTGTCAAAATCCAAAGAAGGATCTGCAATTTTATTGGTCCCCACCTGGCATCTCATCTTCAGTCACTTTCCCACTGACTCTTCCCTCTGTCTTTTCTATAAATATTTTCATGGCAGCTATTCTGGCAAAAGGTTTTTTTTCCCCCTGGTGCTCTGACTGCATGAATTTAAGTGAGCTACTAGATTGACATCTAGGTCCCACCCTTTTACTGTTGAAGTAGCTAAATGCAACTGCCAATTCTGCTCCATTGGTTTCTTTTCTTGCACTTCCCACCTGTGCAACTCCCTTCCATTTACTTCCTTCCCTGATAATTACAATTTAAATGCAACATCAATCCTGTTGAATCTTTAATCCTTTTCTCAGTTGTGTCTATGCTTGTTTTTGTTTTTTTTTTTCTGTCATTTTCACTCCCCCCATAGCTCCCTGGCATATTAGTGGCATTCTTGCCTTACTTGGGGTGAAATGATTAAAAAAAAAATTTCTCATCAGAAACCTACACATTTATAGGTGTTCGATAGGTCTTCCATTGGATCTTTCAGACTGCAGCAATTCAA